TGCACACTGCGATCGGATCCTTGCGGTTGAGGTCCAGGGGTGCACACTGCGAGGGGATCCTTGCGGTTGAGGTCCAGGGGTGCACACTGCGATCCGGAGCTGGCCAGACAAGATCGGCGAAGCAGATTGGCGAGGAAGGAAGCAAGGAGGAAGGAGGAAGGAGGAGGACGAGGAGGCGGCGGAGGCGGAGGCGGAGGCGGAGGCGGAGGCAGAACAGCTGTGATAAAATCTAACAACCCTCACCTGGCAGGTGGGGAAAAGCAAACACAAAGACACAAACAACCATAAAAACAAATGTTTCATTTTTTTGTTTTTGTTTTTGCCAAACATTGTTTTTTCTTTATATAATATAATTTTGTTTGTTTTCTGACACGGTTGCACAGACTTCAGGGTTTGTGCAACGGCTTTTGCCGAGTACTGGCGCCACTGTGCTTCCGACAGTGTCACTAAATGCAAGTTCTGCGTTGAACATTCTCTAAAGTTATATTCGCTCATGATGCTACAGTCGTTGCGCGCAGAGAAAAGTTAACCTACTTGTCATTGGTGTTGCACATTGATAGTGGGCAGACGAAGAGCTATTAATTGTTGTAACGTTTCGCCTAGGTCCCAAAGCAGGTTTTGAAATTCTGCACGGTATTTACAGTGTTTTCTAAAGCTTTTGAACTAGTGTGTGCTCTCCCAAGCACACCCGCTCTCCTGTATTTTGTTTCTGTTGTAGCCTGGTGTCGCAGCCATTCAGTGACATGTCTCAATGGAATGCTGGAAGGAAACTTCAATGGATGTTGATAAAACAGTGTGCCAAACACTTCACCTGCAAGTGTGGAGACCACATTCAGGTTGCACGACGATTCATGCGGAAAAACAACACACCGCCATGAAAATTGTTTAGGCTGCAATTCTGCCCATTTGCGTGGTGCACTGTTGGAGATTGGGGTTTTGGTTTCGCAACCACTAGCTGTGCAAACGGCGACATCAAAGATGTTCATCAGCACAGTTTTCACCGCAAAGTGAAACACATGGTCCATGCCAGCTGAGCAAAGCACCTCGCGTTTCAATGCAACCATTGTATCTTGACAGAAGGGCTTGGGATTCTACCAACAGGACTGGCGCTGATGACATCCAGAAGGGTTGGTGTCGCAGGGAATCCGAATTCTTGGGTGGTTGGATCTGCAGGACGTTTTATTTTTTTTCATTTTTTTGAGGTATTCTTCGTTCAGAACCACAAAGGTGGGGCAACAGCTCCAAGAATTGAAGGATTGCCCAAAGGATTGACCTTTAAAACCACCTTCAGAGTGGAGGGCATTTTTTTCATCCATGGATTGTATGGGATGGCTGATTAGTTGTTGAAGGTTTCGATGACGTGTTGTAGAGGGCATGACCTAGTTGCATTGACTTTAATGAAAACTGACTGTTTACACTGCCAACCCAAAGGTCTTGAAAACAGAACATATTTGACCACCTGTGTTGTCACTTCTTTGGTGGCGTCTGCGGCGAGAACCCGAGTCACTTTGAGCGAGCTCTTGATGCAGCCAGAGTCCGGACAAATGCGGGTGGTTGTTTGTGAGTCCCTGGACTCAGAAGCCTTTCTTGTTCCGTTCGTAGGAGCGGCCAGTGTCGCCCCGAATTCGTTTGCGTCCGATCGTTCCAGCTTCCCACCCAGGAAGCGGATCTCCGACTCCCAGCGGCAATTTCTCCTGGACGGCGTTCAGCAGAACTTGCGGAGCGATGGCCGTGGGCCGTTCGACTATCGCCGTGCCGCTTGGTCACAGCGTTGGTGTGACCGAGGAAGAACGGGTGTGACATGAGCCCTCTGAACAGTTGTAATGTAGACTCTTGATCAATACACCACCCCTAGTTGAATTGAAAGTCCTCTTCACATCGGGGGGTTTTATGTACATTATGTTCTCTTTTTTTGGGAGATCACACCACCACGTGTTTGGGTCGTTGGTGACTCCGTGCGTCCCCCAGAGGTGAACTCCCCGGTTCAGGTCACCTTTGAGCTGAATTGCATCCCCAGCTCGACCAGCTCCTGCCGCCTGCGCGCGGGCGACACCGAGCTGCTCCTGGCGCTGAAGTGTGGGGGATCCCCGGATTCGCTGGCGCTGAAGGGTGGGAAGGTTTAGAGGCACAGAAGGAGTAATAGACATGGTCTCCATCTCTATGATGGAGAGGATTTCGTGATTGACATGGAGGATCCACTGTTCCAACAGGACAACCTCTATTTGGAGAGCACGATCTCTTGATAGTCTCCTAGGTCTGGATCTGAACGATAGCTTGTTGTTTTCAGCGAAGCGAAGGCCAGACTGAGACTGCCAAGGTGACTTGGCGAAGCCACGGCTGCAGCCAGATGCAGGTCACGTGCAGGCGGAACTGGCGATGCCGCCGGTCCTCTCCGTTTGATGTAAAAGCAGGTTTGGTTTTTCAAGAGAAGATGACATGGTTTGGTTTGTGTATAGTCTTTTAGTCTATAGTATAGAGTATATAGAATATGGTATATACAGTAGTATATAGGAGCACGATGCAGGCCCAGATTTGGTGGGTGTTTTTCTTTTTTGCTCAACATGCATCAAACCCAAACATGACAGCAACGTCAGCTGAAGTTCATTGGCTTTGTTGGTTGTTTTATATAGATGGGACGATTTGGATCCCCTTTTTTGTGTTTGTTGCGACATTTGGATCACTTTTTCCTTTTGTTGTCCATGCTTGGGCCTTGATGTCAAGGCCATACCCTTATTTCCTGCGCACCCCCCCTCACGAAAAAGAACCACTTGTTTTTGTGAACATGATCCCATGAATCCCATGCTACCTTGCAAGCTTTGAACCCCGCTCATGCGTTTCCCCATACCCATGTATGGGGAAACCCAGCTTTAGCTCTCAAAAGTTCCGGCTCTTTGGGCTTTCAACATCTCTTTGGCGGCCCGATTTCACCACACCTGGCGACCCGATTTCAGGACGGATTTCAGTCGCCAGTCGGAGTACTGAAACTGACCCCCCTTCTGTTGGAAGACGCTTCTTCGCACCAAGTCACGTGGAGCTTGCCGGTCCCAAACAAACGGCTGAAGCGCCGTGCGAGTTTCTCGATGTGCTGACATCTTCGGCCGAGGCATCTTCGGATCGTCCCCATGGGTTCAGGGACTGAATCCTCCAACTTCATCACAGGGTGGTATCCACCGAAAAGGTCCTGAACATGCACGTCACCCCTGTGTATCGCAGCAATGCTTTAAAGACCGAGTTCGGTCCGACCTTGGACTCGACCAAGAAACGACCTGGGACTCGTTGTCGGTCACCACCCCATCAATTGAATCCTTGACACCAATTCTATGGTGGTGACCTACACAGCTTACAAATATGGGATTTTGCTACACAACCATCTCATATCTCACATCTTATTCTTATTTTCTCCAAATCCCATCGACCGACACCGTCACCCCGAGACCCCCGGACCCCAGGTGACGGTGGAGTGTGCGCCCTCGGTGTCCGTCGCCTTGGCGGACAGCTCCACAGCCGAGGTTCGACGGGTGAACCTCGGTTCATCGGATGTTTTGGGTCTCTAAAACAGCAAGGTGGCAGGGCTGGTAGCTTTGGTTCATTGATCTCTTACTATCGACTAACTTTAGGTGGCAGGGTCTTTGACTTGACACTTTCGGCCTCCAAAATAGGTTTAGGTCTAAATGGGAGCTCCACCCGCCACCCTGCTATTGAAAAAGAGGAGCTCCACGGACGGTCATGGATGTGTGGAACACCTGGAAGGCTACGTATGGAAGGCTCAGGGGGCTCAGGGCGTGGGGTGGCCAGGGGAGTCTGAAAGACATCGATCAGCCACGCCCATGCCAGCCATGCAGGACTGGGGCCGACGGCTGTCTGTCCTTCTGGACTCTTGGCGAAGAGGGGAGGCCCTCAGTCCTGTCACCGAAACGTTCATCATCCTTTCATCCCTGCAAAGCCTCAAGCCCATAAAACACATCGATTGTGACGAAATCCAGGTGGGCCCTCAGAATGCTTTCGACAAGGAGACAGTTGCTCCTGAAAACGGCTTCCATGTCTAGCCTTACAAACGGATGTTGAGGGGGTCTACAGAGAGGGTTAGATCACCAGGTGGTTTCGAGACCCTAGCTGCGCAGCTGCACCAAGGAGACATTGTGCGCCTCTGATAGCTCGGGATCCTGAGGGAGGATGCGAGTGCACAGCTCACTCTGTTGGCTGAGGCTTTCGAGGTTGAAGTCCTCCAATCATCAGCCAAGATGTCCATTCTTTCGTCCACGAATCGTGCTGCGGGGTCGCCGGCCTTGTCTTCCGAAAGCAGGTCCTGCCCTAAGAATCCTTGGGCCCTATGTGTTTGAGGGCCCGGATTCTTGGGGTAGAGTTCTTGTTTGAGACCAGTTGTTGAGATTGGTTGAGTCAGGTGAGTTCTTCCTGTGCTCAAGCTGACCTGGATGGATCTTCCTAACTTCCTTCGTCACCAGACGTGGCCCACGTGAGGTGTCATTGACCGGAAGGTGCGTCACGGTCGGTCGCCCGCACACCACGGTCGGTGGGTGGGTCGCCGTTGCCGGTGACTCACCAGGTCCTTTTTCGTCCAAAAAAGAATGCCCTGAGAGTCAAAGACTGGAAGTGAATGGGAAAAGTACATAGATTTTTCGGGAACTCCCAGACTATTTCACTGGGGCATACAATTGAACTCGACTTATACGCGTATGGTTTTCCTTGGGATGTTGAATTTGGGTCCCGGGTGTTTTTCACCCAAGAGATCCGCAGCGTGTATGTCCAGTTTTCGTTCTGAAGAATAGCAGGACTCCAGCTCGACAGCTTCTGATGTGGATTTTTTCGGGTGGGGGACACCATCTTTTTTTCTTTGCTTGACTAGGCAGAGAATAGGGAGAGAAGGGCATGCAACGTCGAGATTTCAAAAGAAGATCGCACTGGCCGAAAATTACCAGCATTCTTGGGGTGAGAGAGAGAGAGAGAGAGAGAGCGAGGACCTTTCGAGCTGCCCATCTTGGAGCTGCGGCACAAAACCCGAAAGAAAATAGGATACACTCCATGGAATGATGGTGGAAGTGGATGGCATGGCCCCTTCAATGACCATTTCCCTCTACAAAGAGGTGGTTTTCCACTTCCAGGATTATGTCAAGGACTGTATCATCACATCACACCTGGGTGTCTTCAATTTTATCTCCCCCTCTTCAGTGAGCTTTTTCTTTAGGCTCGGAAGGCGCCGTTCTCACACGCCAGGCTCTTTGCTTGTTGCCCCATGTCTTCGCATGGCAGGCGCGAACTGGGCGAACCGCTTGCACCCGGATTCAACAGTGTGTGAAGCTACCTTCACATGAGTCGCTTGAAGAGCTCGGACACCGGAAAGGGTGGGAGTGGGTGGGGAGGGCCGTCGGTTTGTACAAGGGGATGGGAATTGGTTCTCCACCATGGGACATTGGCACATCCCAGTTGGATCATCATCATCAGAATGTGAGATCTTTCACCCGTTTTCTTCGACGCTCTCGAATGAGTGGGTTACGTTGGACCCGCCGGTCTCGGTCGCCTTTGGGCGGGGAGCGGCCTGCCCTTGGCCCGCCTTTCAGGGGAACCTCCCTGGCTTCCCGAACTCGGTAAGAGCCACATCGACCCCTCAGAAGCTGTTTTGCACCGCTTTGGTGCCCAAAACAGCAAGGCCGAAGAAACATCTCAGGTGGCCAGTTGCGGGGGTCCCAACTCCGAACAAAAAGGCTTGTTGGCGCCAGCGCCAGCCAGGCAGCCGGCGGGTCTGACCTGTGCGGCTCCACCTGTCAGGTGCATGTGGATGTGCTCGTGCTGAGCTCTGGTGGTAACCTCTTGGACTCGCTCGCCCTGGCCCTGGGTGCGGTGCTCTCCGAGACGCTTCTCCCCAAGGTGGGAGCGGATGGGCTGGAAGAAGTTCGTCAGTTTTTTCTACTTCTGTAGCAGTCTAACAGGACAAGCACCCGACTCCTACCGTCCTGTAAAGGCCTTGTGACTTGTGATCCAAAAAGATGCCAGACAAGGCTGTGAGAAATATCTAATGCGGATTGGTACGTGGCGATCCGAAGCAACCGGAGACGACGCCGTGACAACCATCGACCCAACCATCGAGTCATCGAGCCTAAGGACCTTGGACCTTGTTTTGGATGCCCAAATCGGGGCGATCACCCGAAAACTGTGGGTGAAACAGCAGGTCGTAAACGTAGCCTGAGCCCATCCGCCTGCCTCAGCCCGACTTGAGGGGTCTTCAACTTGGCACTGACCTGCCAGGTGGAGGTGATTGAAGCACTGGAAGAGGGCGAGGAAGTGCAGCTGAAGGCTTCGGTTCGACGACTTCCGTCGACCGACGGAAGCCGACCGGGAAGGGCAGTCCATGGAAGGTCGAGCGGTCCGTTCCCACGACCGTGGTTTTTGGGAGCGTCGATGGGGCGGGGTCGAGGTGGTTGTTGGTGCACCGAAAATGGGTTTTCTCCGCCAGACCCAAGAGATCTAAGAAGCGCCTGCTTTTGGATTGTTCTTTGAGGTCACCAGCTTGTAGGCCGGGATGGCCTGTGATCGAAGTTGTCAGCAAATGCTGAAGCATGGCTCTCGCTTGGCAATCATCGCCAAGCTTTCAAAGCAAAAGAAACGTCCGGGCTCAAACAAAATTGGCATAGGCATTTCTTGGACTTTGCTTCCAGGTTAGGTTCTTTCGTCCTTTGCGTTTCTGGGGCACCAAATAGACGACACGGTCCAAAACCCTTCGAAAGAGCTTCGAGTTTCTTCCTCCACGTCACGTCCTTCACCCTCGAGGAAAATCGACGGATCTGTCCGACCAGGTGGACGACCGCCCTGAAGCGGGGCTGCGCTTCCCGACGCTCGGACGGTCGAACCCGTTGGGAAACGGTCTCCTCTATTGGATCGTCCAAAGCCATATAAATAACGTAGACTCTTGATTCATAACACCCCCCGTATGAAGAGGACTTCCAATTCAAATAGGGGTCGGTGTATGAATCAAGAGTCCACATTACTGCATTTTCAGCACGAAGGCTTGTCCATTGTGATCTTGATCCAGGTGTGGATATGCCGCAGGGGGTCAAGACCTGGGGCCATGGGGCAGAAGCATCATGAGCATGATGTGTTTCATGCGAACATCCGCTGTTACAGGGTTGGGGTGCAACAGGGGGGTAGGATCCAAGCCAGTTCAAAAAGTTCATGTATCATCCCAGCACATATGACAGGATGTGAGCAGGGCTCATGGAGGTGTGGGCTGACTTCATTGTGAAAGGTCTGTCGAGGTCTTCAATTCTGTCTCTGTCCCTATCATTGCTTTTGATGGGCTTTCAATTTAGATCGTTTCCCACATTCCAATAGGTGTCGGGCAGTATCCAGTGAAATCTATAGGTGTTTACATGTTTGTTTGGGATTGCTTTCAGCTCAAAGACCGGACTTGTTCTGTATGAGATTGCGATTTTTCTGTCGGGAAAACTCAAAAAACAGACTGTTTCACCTTCGTGATGACATGAGGATGAAGCAGCTGCCACTCTGTGTGACTGTGGCGCAAATCTCTGGGAAGTTCCTGATGGATGTGACCTCCGAAGAAGAGATCTGTGCCGAGGACGGGGCACCAGAGGGGTGGGACTCGGGGTCAGCGGTCAGCAGACACGACCGGACAGTGAGAGCAGGGTAGAGAGAAGACTGAGGTAAGAGGCTTGGCCGGGTTAGACCAGAAAGTAGCTGTATGAAAAGCAGTTTGTCAGAGAGAAGGGTTAGCACGAAGGGCACCTGAAGCGTCAGATGTCAGACTTGGTGGCTGGCGGCGCGGCAGGCCATGTTGTGCGTGGTGGTGGATGGCAAGACCGGGGACATCATCGGCTTGCACAAGTCGAGGTCTCAGAAATGCAAGAAAGACATGGTATTTGGATTCCGAACTCTCTCACCCCTATGAGGAGAAGATCCACACCCTGCAAGTGGTGTCTTCCCAAAACCCTAATTTCTGGCGCATGGTTCATCCGGATCCAAAATCCAGATCCCTTGGAACGCAATCTGGGCTTGGCTCAAGAAGACATTCTTGGGAACCGGATCGGTGCTCCAGTCCCCGTGTGCCCTCCGACCCGAAGAACGCCCTCCGCGCGACGGCCCGAGGCTGGGCCGTGGCCTCTTTGATGTCAGCGCTTTGCCTTCGATGTTGGAGAGGCCGGGGTGGAGTGAGACCGGGGTGGTGCCGACCGTTTCACGAACGACAGACCGCGGGGGTGGTCAAAGACCTGCGGGGGTTGGCCGGCCTTACCAGGGGTGTGATGCGACGCTGATGCGATGATGCTCTTTGCATGAATTTCAGGTTCTTCAATTTGAGGGTTCGGACGCTTCAACGGTACCAGGTGGACGATTTGCTTTGCAAGTGAGCGAATTTGGAGAGACCTAGGCGTCAGCCTAGGCCCATGCGGAGAACACATGCATGTTCCAAGCTCAAGGGACTCTGGTTGCTTCGAACGATGACAACTTGCATCATAGAATCATATAGAATTGCATACCCCACCTCCCCTTACTTCGTCGAGCTTCTGAACCGTGAAAGCTTCCATCTGGTGCACCGGGTTTCCAGTGTCGGAACCTCTGCAAAAAGCGATCGGAGCATTTTCTTCGAGGGGTAGCATGTATAGACCAGCACATTCGATAACCGTGGCACACCTGGCAGCCAGGAGATTTGAAACACCAGTCTAGTACAGTATAGATGTTGATTCCCGGTCAATGGTGTTCTCCTCCTTTCTGAACCAGGCTCGTAAGGTTCGCTTGCCTCTCTTCTGGGGTGGGGAATAGATTCATGCCATCATTGGGATCCTGGTATTTCACCATTCACTGGAATAACCAAGGTTGCAGCCTTTTCAGAACTGGCTCAAGTCCCAAAGACCAGGCTCAAAAAGAGCCATATGTTTCGCCACGGCCGGGAAATCCATACCCTTTCGGAATGCACCGTTCGTTCGGCACCGTTCGTTCGGCACCGAACACACCAGGTGCCGCGGCACTGCTGCTGTGCTGGTGCAGCAGCTGCCTGGCGGCATCGAGGGGGCCGGTGGCACATCCACCGAGCACGGCCATCACGAGAAGTCACGGTGGAGTCACGGTGGAGTCACGGTAGACTCTTGAGGACCATAAACCCCTCCATTGGAACATCCTCTTCATATGGGGGCTTAGTAGTCAAGAGTCTACATTATTTTTGGTTCACCGGTGCGTCTGACGGCTTCGCGCAGTCACTCAGTGCCTTGTTCTGCGGCATCCCTGACACCTCAAATCTGGGCCCCGGCCACCGGGCCCAGAGTTTTCGGCGTTTTTAGACGACTCAGTGTGGTGCACGTCCTGAGTCTGCTGCGCTGAGTCTGGACGTGTGGAAGTGATGCAATGACTTGTGGATCCTCAAAAGTCTTGAGCGTCTTCAAAGCTCACAGGGTCTCTGGCCTGTCGAACGATTTCACTTGTTGCGTTTGCTGTCGATCTTCCCTGCTTGTCCCTGCTCTGAAACCTCCGATTTCAGGAGAAAAAAAGCTTTCTCCCTTCGGGAGCCGAGTTCGGATGGATCGACCCTGCCCCCCAACCGGCCCCCCAAAACGGCGAAAAGGATCCACGTTGGACACGGCGAACGGTTCGGAGCGTCTCGACCGATGGAACAGACAGAGACAGTCAAGAACCGGGGGTCGGGTCAACCGCCAGCGGTTTCATTCTTCTTTGGGCCCATGAAATGGTTTGTGACAGGCTGCGAAGGATGTAGTATATAGTACTCACGTAGATGTTTGGGAAGACCCTAACATGACTGGCCGAAACTTGGTCACTCTTTGACTTCTGTATCTAAGGCTTTCTACTTAGAATGTGTGATAAGACACAACATCTTGAAGCATTTAACTTTTGCTGGATAGTCTATGCAATTGGAACCTTGCTGCTTCCTGGGTAGACAGATCCGGTAGACGTCGCTAGAGTTACACCGTCGTGCTGCAGGTTGGACCGTGAGCTGTCACTACCAGCTGCTTTGATGCGGTAAACGGGGCGACCGAGCAGCCCACCCTGGGTGGAGCACCCAACCAACCGATGGGCTGGTCCTTGTCCGGAGAGTCACGCCCGCCGAGGGTCTCTCGACCGACCGACCCACGGAGCGAGAGTGTCGCACCGTCCCGACGGAGCGATCCGCGCTGGTGATCCTCGTCTCGCGTTCGTCTCGGCGTGACCGAGATAGCATGGGAGGGCCCTTTTCTTGCAGTGAAGTGACCCGAGAATGCGAATGCCTTGCCTTTGAGCTGAAACTTGAATTCCTGCAAACAAGGTGAACGCCAGGATGAACAAGCTCACTGCTCAAGGCTTAAGGTCCCAGTTCTTTCAAGCTGAACACTAAGGATTAGCATGGCCACTTGGTCCTGAAGCCAGGGGGACCGGAGGACCAGTGGCGGGGGGTCCTCTCGGTGACCCGGATCGATGTTTGTGCCTTTGAGAAATAAGTCGCACAAACATGGACTCTTTTTGCAGAGGAAGCTGGTCTTTGAGCAGGATGGTTTTTTCAAAGGCTTCATAGAAGTTCATAGGGTTTGGTATTCAAAAGCTGGTCTTTTGCATTCTCATAGGGTGTTCGATTCATGCCCCGCAGGATGGGTGGAGGAACAGCCGGATCGCTGACGGAGTTTTCAGAACACCACCGGTGGGGTCCTTGGCGCCCCATCCCATCCGTTCGCCGCCATGGGGATCAAGCCGAAGAGCCGTGTGACTCGGCACATGTCTGGCCGTCTGACTTGGACTCTTTAACAGAACGTCCGACATGTGCGGAACCTGGTGGATCCATTTTCGTCCGGTTTGGGTCCGGTCTGGGGTCCGGAGGACATACTCCAGAGGTTGAAGGACCCTACAGACTATGCCATAGGTACTCGCTTAACCTCTGTTGGCTGTACACGTTAAATCATGAACTTTTTGGCTTGGAGAACAACCCTCCCATCAAGTGCAAGTCCTCTTCAAGTTTCTCCGATGTTCACCGCGCCATTGTTGCATGGGGCACTTCCGAGGCCGCTCTTGGCCGTTCTCGGTGGAAAAAAGATGCGTGTCCTCGCGGTGGGCATAGAGGGAGGTGTAGGGTAGAAAGAACTGGGAGGGCCAACCCAAGTGGGAACGCCAAACATAGATTGGATCCAATGGGTTGGGAAGCAGGATTGAGAGTTGGTCTTGTTGGGAGAACTCAGTGCACGAGGGGCTGGTGAGGCTTCTCTGCCAAAGACTCAGCTGAAGCTGCCAACAGAGCCTGGATGTTTCGGGTTCCGAAACGGGCTTTGCCTGTTGGTCCATTTGGATCATGTCAGCTATGCCATGCGAATCTCCTGATTTGCGATGGTTTGGTGGTTTGGTTTGGGTGATGAAGCAACTCATGGAAGTGAACGACTTAGCTTCCTTCACACCTGAGCTCGTGCTGGGTGGAGCTCTTAGAAGTGCTCGGTTCACCTATTTCACTTCTACAAAAGTGCTTTTCTCAATGTTGCCGAGGCAGGCCAACATTCTATTGGAGAACCAGCTACTACTCAGGGAGAAACGTCAAACAATAGCACACCCAGCCATCTTTCGAAAGAGGTCGCACTGGTTTAGGACCATCGGCGGTCCAGGCGGACTGGTTTTGGACAGCCAGGGTTCCTCAAAGTAGATCCCCTAAGGAAGGATCCGGTCTCAAGGTGCTTCACTTTTCACCAGCTCGACTTCTCGACTTCCTTCAGGCTCACAAGCTCAAGAAACATGTCTGTCATGGCGCCGGCTGTGCCGCGTTCATGGGGCCACGACGACCCAAGTTTCATGAGGCCAATGAGGCCGAGGTTGCTTTTGATGAGGCCTTCGTTGACTAGCCTTCAGAGTCTTCAACAGCTGAACCTGTTGACCACTGAACCTTTTGAGCCCCATGGGTTCCCCATGGTGTGAGATTTTTTTTGCAGGGCATCACGACATAAAAAGGCCCGAAGCGAACCCATGTGGAGTCCAAGGCACGGCACGAGTGCCGTTGTTCGGTGCCGTGGGAAGTCTTGCTTTCCCCCGACCGGAAGAAGCTGGACCATGGCGACTCCCCTGATTGAAGTCGAGGCCGAGCGGGCCGAGCCGGCTCGGCGACCTGCGCAGTCATGTCTGTCTGGCCTTTTTGGATGTTTGCGAATGCTTGACTTGCAGGAATCCAAGACGCGAAACCGTGGGGTGTAATTATGGAAGGACTTCCCTGGAACTCTCTCTCAAAAACATGGACCAGTCTACCCAGCCAGGGCGAGATTGGGCTGGGCTGGGCCAAGCAATCTGATCTTCGGCTGGGCTGGGCCTTTTCATAGGGTTTGCTCTCCCGACGCTGTCGGATGGACCGAGGAGCCGGACCTGTCGATGGAGCTCATGGGGCAGCTCCGGGTGCACTTTTCGGCCCGGGGCCGGCGAATCGGGACAGACTGGGGACTGGGTGGTCTTGGGGAGCTGAACCTGCCGACTGACAGCCTTGAATCCACACCGTTCTTATGCTTTTGTGTGTTTTTTTTTCGTGTTTTTTTCTCCAGCTTTGGACACAGACTTCTACGACTTCTGCACGTGTCACGACTTCTGCACGAACGACTGGCGATGGGTCGTGACCCGCGAACGACCTTCCAAGCAAAAAAGGTTCCCCACAGTCATACGTCTCCCAAGCAAAAAAACCATGGCCTCGACCGCGAATGCGATGAATGATTGGGTGCTGGGTCGCGCGAGTGAAACACACTCGAAAAACACGCGGCTCGCCGCGTGCGTTTCACGCCTCGACCGGGAAAACACATCTCTAGCACCGTGGCCCCCATGCACCGTGCTCGACTGGGGTCGTTTTGAGGCCCTAGAAGCGGACTTCTTCAAGGAGGTGGGCGTTTATCGCGGTGCGTGTCGGTGGAGCTGGAGAGGTGTGGAGGTGGGTGGTGGTCGTGGAGGTGGGTGGGCTGGTCGTGGAAGAAGTCTTTCGGTTGGTCTTGAGGATTCTTCTACATCTTTGGAGTCTTTGGGGCTAAGTCCAAGACATACCTGGGACCACTCAGATCCATGGACCATGACTTCATCTAGAGGCTTTCCTAGATTCCCGGGCAGGTGTTCCGACTCGTGACCCGTGACCAAGGTGCGGAGTGGCCACGACGAACAGCAGGCTGGACGATGAGGAAAACATGTTAAGTATACACAGATCCACGATTCTCCAAGTATAGGTGCATGATGAAGGGAAACAGGCGGAAGCACATACACACATTTGTACTCATGTTTTAATCTAATGGATATTCAGTTTGTTTGGATTGAGTGCTGAGTTCCTGGAAGAAGCATTTGATATTTTCAAGCTCCAAATCTGACCTTTGACCGATCCCGAATCGAGTCCGGCATCTTTCAGAAACTCTGATAGTTTGCTCTTTTCTTGCTCTATTCACCCAGAGAAAGTCCACTTCGACAATGATTGTACCCCACTGAAGTAAAGGTAGCTTCCCTGAAATCAGGTCACCTCAATGAGCTCTATTTTTTTTCCGTCTTGGACTCTCAGGGTGAAACATGTTTTGCTTGGCTCAGGTCCGGTTCAAGTATGCCGACGCGGCAGCGGCCGAAATTGTCCCGCAGCTGGAAGACTGGACGGATCACCTTTCTGGGAGATCGACGGTTTGGCCCTGTCCAGGTGCAGCAGATTTTTCAACCAACGGCTGGACCTGCAACGCCTGGTTGTGGCTTGTCTTCCTTCATTCATACACACATCATATATATATATATATATATATGTATATATATATATGTATATATATATTATATGTATACCCTGGAAGTCAAAGACCATTTTTTAAATGGTTGATCTGGTTTTGTAGTGTAAAACCTTTAGTGAAACAAAGGTTGTTCGGTCAAGGCTATTAGAACAATGGTGGTTCGACTTCTATGGTATAGTTATTTCCAGGACCCCCCTCCCCAAAGGGCTGGTTTTCATGAACACCTCTTAACCTCTTTCGGGGCTATGAATCAACACCCCCCCTTCGCCCAGGGGTGCCCTGGAAGAAACGACAACCTCTAAACGGCGAGGGGCTCCTCCGGGGTCTCCTGTGCGGGGCTCCTCCGGGGCTCACTGCAGACCTTCCCCGAGGTCTGCATGCTGCAGAGCTTCAATCCCGACATCTCAGAGGCCGAAGAGCTGGGCCGCGAAGGGTTGAACGGGTGGAGACGGGACCGTCCAAGGCGAAACGTCCGGCAAGAGGTGGCGGTGGAGGGCGGAAAGTTGGGTCATGTTTCAGGTTCTGCGCCGTTTTTTTTTCAAGCAACTCAACTAACAAAGAACCGTTCACAGTGGCTCAGCTGGCAGGAAAAAAACAGGAGATGCACCTTGCCCAGCCCGCCACTTCGGTCCTGAGAGGTTAGGAGAGAGCCAATTTGCCATCCCACAAGCCCTCTCCACTATCAGATAGTGACCCAAAAAGGGGGCAACTTCTGATTTTTCGTGATTTTTCTATTCGGCCCTCCCCTTCGCAGGAGGAGCTGTCTCGAGATGCTCCTTGGCCAGAGTTGTGAGCGGTGGGTTCACCCAACGTCTTGGAAAGAGGGGACGCCAGACATTTGCGGAGGACACGTTTTGGCCTTCCGAATCATTTGACCAGAAACTTGCTTGGCTTCAGTGAAGGACAGACGATGAAAGCCTTTCCACTTCCTTCTGTGCGCGCCCCACGAACGGCGGTGTCGGACGACGTCGTCGGGATGGTGCGGGGCGAGGTCGGTCCGGCCGCTTCACTTGTTGGATTTCTTTGTTTCACTCAGTGCCCATACATAGAGGCTGACGTGATGATGTGTTTTTTTTTGGAGTGGATCGCCCGGTAGTTCTGATGTATCGCCCCTCTCGCCGGATGGTCCGAATCGAATCTGAGGCGCACAGCATTATCCATACGGAGTCAGTGGCCCCTTGGTCCAGAGATGTCCAGATGAATGAGGCAAAGCTTGAGGCTTCTGTTCCCTTGTTGGAGCGGGGACGGGTGTTGGGGCGGGAGCTTCAAAGACTTGGGGAACCTGGTGGCTGAAAAGTGGTCTTTGGTTTCGTAAGTCCAATTCTTAGATACACACATTGACGGACATGCTTCTTTAGTTTGTCTCAGAAATGTCAGGTTGCAAAAGCTGTGCATTGGGACCCACAGCTTTGATTGTTTCAGAGTCTGGGTCAATGATTTCGCTCAGAGTTCCTGGCAGAAGCTAAAGCTGGATCCTCTTAGGTCCCAGGTTTGTTGACCTTTTGTAAGGCAAACCCCTTCAGATTGGTGGTGAATGGCAGTCTTGCTGCTTTTCTGTTCCCTATTCTGCCAAGGGCCTGCAATGGCCCTAGCTCCGGATCTGTCTCTTGTGATTCTAGTTCAAATCCCCCGCGTTCGGCGTGTGGCTCCTGAAGATCCCCTCCCCCCCCACCGGTCTGCGGCTTCGACCCCTCTGGTGACCGGAGGGAAGGGGCGACTGAAGGAGTCTTTGGAAGGGACATTTGGAAAGGCACGAAGTTTAAGGAGGAAGGGTGATCTGGATCGAGGTTCTGGCCTTGATGCATTTTTCACCAGTTTGCATTTCTACTCTCTCTCTCTCTATACTGTATCTATTGTTGAAATCGAAATCAGTGAAGAGGTATACTGAAAGCATCAGGAGAGGTCTATGAGTCCTGAGGGAATTAACCAGTCATGTTATGGGGATCAGCTTGCTCCAAGGTTGGCCATTTGCATCAGCCAATGCTGACGGCCGGAACACTCAGCCTGTTTTCTGTACGAGCGTTGGGACGGCAGATTGCCCGTCCGCCTTTCTGCCCGTCTGTTTTGCCGAAGCAAAGACCATGTCCGAAATCAGGTCTCCGACAGTCAGACGAGTCGTGATGGTATTTTTGACTCTCAAAGTCTGGACTCCCAACGATTTGGACTCCTGAACGCCCAGGCATTAAGAGAGTGTGTCCCGTGCGGGCGCCCAGACAGGCAGGCCTGGGGGTGTGTCCACCCAGGGAGAGGTGAATCATTCAAGTCAGGGCGATGGGACACGCACCGGTGAGCGGAAGAACTGGACCGGTGGACCAGTCGACATGCACCGATTCCTTCCTCTTTTTTTCGGGAGATCAAGCTATTCTGGAATCTGGGTGCGCGGAGGTTTTGACTCACCAAATCTGTAAAAGGACATGGAACTATTTCAAAGACCAACCAACCCCTCTGGGATTCCCTGACTTCGTGATCGATTTTCCAGCAGATCTGTAAGCTTTCTGTGCCGGATCAACGTGTATCGAGCGATCGATCGAGTCGAGTCTACCCAGGTTAGATCGTCGCGCCTGGCTGGCCAATGATGTCCAGAGGCCCGACCTCCTCAGCCGCTGTCCATTTGTTCGGCCGCTGAGGAGTGGTTTTTTGGGGGATCTCAGGGTGGGCCAAAGCAGGTGTGTCTGTGTCTATCGGAGGAGGACACATCTTGTGGAGTCATCTCAATCTGAGAGTTTCGCCTAGAAATGCCTCTAGCCAAGTTGACTGGACTGGAGTGTAGATGACAATCTACTCATTAAACTTGAACTACCAAACTCGCTCCAGGTTGTGTTCAGTGGCTTCTCAAGTTGAACTTGAGGTCATTTAGTACTCTTCCGTATTCTTGTTATCACAGGCCAAGTGAGAAGGCTCTACAGCAGCACGGAAGCTTGAGATTTGAAGTGTTCAGGGTATGTGTAACTCATGAATTTCCAAGGGCTATGTCCAGTAAGTCTACTAGGTTGGAGGCCATCGCTAGAAGGTTGCAGGCCACCGCTCTTAGGTTGGAGGCCATCGCTAGTATATGGTGACTGATCCAATCTTCAAGATCGGAGACTTGCGCCAGGCACTTGCTCCGGCAGCGACGACGCCGTCCCCTTTTGAAGGCTTGACGAACAGCTTGAGAACGGAGTGAACGGAGAGATTGGACGTGATTGGTTCTCAGAACACCTACGCTCAAACGTGCAAGCTTGAATCATCCCCGCTGGAGAAAAGACAGCAGCAACTTTAAGATGAGGCATGTATGAATGTCATGGGTAGTGGAGCTTCCCCTTGGCCTTGTCTTCTGTGTGATCGCCCGCAAGCCCCCGCCAGGTGCTTGGGGCTTTTCAGCGACAGAGCCAGGACGTTTTCGTTTTTGATGGTTTTGGTGGGGCCAAATGTGTGGAAGGTGGATTGGTCTAGTCTGCAAGTGCTAGATGAACCAAATGGACAGACATAGGAAGTAACACTTGGGAGCCAGATCTAGGACGTAATAGTGGCCTTGTGTGCTTGGTTTCCGGTCGCCCCAGTCGCCACTTGATGTAGCACCAGTGGATTGCCCCGTCCCGTCGTGTCCCGTCAATCACTCACGCAGAAAACTCGTCAGGCTCTTGAGGATGGGACGGCACCATCAACATCTGCGAAAGGGATTGTGATTTTCTCCAGCCGCGGGCGTTTCGCCAGAACACGTGATCCATCTGCCAGACCCATGTTTCTTTTTTTCCCGAGACTCACAGGAGGCCCTGCTGCTTGAGGAAAGCTTCGACCCACAGAAGGCCTCCACACACAGCTTCCTCATCATAGAGACATACAAAATTGGAGGTGCCCTCAGATTTTGTGGCTGAATCAGTTTCCAGACATTGTGGGACACCTGGTTTGCTCGCACACCCAACCCGAGCCAGTTTTTGTGTGTATCTTTGCACTACAGGAACAGCGGGCTGGTGAGAGTCTCTCACTCCCTGCCTGGGACCAAAGGAGGACCAACAATTAAAAAGGCTTTTCGTGCTGAGAAAGCACGAACAGATCCAGTTGAAACTGCTAGGCTAATAAAGCCCAGCTAGACTGCAGGGCCCAAACGACACCTAGACTGCAACGAAGTCAGAAAATCACTGGTCCAAAGGAACAGCAATTCCCAAAAAGGAGACCTAAGGGGGCCAGACCCACAACAGAGCGACAGACATCAAAAGGGGCCCAGGAGCTACAAAGAGCACCATCGCAACTACTTCACAATCCTAGCAGGCTCCGGTCGAAACCTTTCAAGCGCTAGAAGCTAGAAGGCTAGAAGCAATCAACTAGCTAAGAAGCAGCGAACATGCAGTAGTGGAGCAAGGTCTCAACTGTAAACAACATGAAACCTGCTTGGACCAGCCAGGACCAGCACGTGCGCGCCACGGTTCTCGGAGCGGTGGGCGGTGCGGCTGTGGGCAGCACTGGCGGTGGGGCACGGGCACCCGGAGGGTGTGGGCACCATGTCCACTCCCTTCCGCCGATCAGAAAAGCGCAGAGAGAAGAGGGGGAATGAAAACAGAATCATATCTGATTCCGGAACCCAGGGACCACCGAAGTTGAAGGTGAAATCGAAACTCCGCGAAGAAACCGATGCTCCGATGCTCCCCACCAAACCTCAGGCCTTTGGGATGGTGGCCGGGAGCTCCTTGGGCGCTGCCTGTGGGATGCTCCCCGCTCTCTTCACCTTTGGTGGGGGCCCCAAAAAGCACGTGCCGCGTCGGAGTTGGCGGGGAAAATCGGCAGTGTCCGCGAAGGAGGTGCTCCCCGGTGCTCCTCCGTGTAGCCCGTCCGGAAAGGAGACAGAGAGTGCATTTTCGACCTTTTGGGAGGGCGAACATAGAACAAGCCGAACCATGGGAGCGAGGATCTCGGGTCTCTCTATTTCAATCCATGCCCCAGACAAACACACGCCCTGTTCACTCGGGGAGAAGCACAGCACCGGAAGCGTGGAAGGCGTGCTGCTTCAAAGCGCATATCGTCGAATTCTTATCTCTAGTTTTCTTCCTTTCCTGTTGTATCCTTTACTCGTACTTCTCTTCCTTATTTTCCTCCTCCTGGTTCTGCTGAAAGTGTTTGTCCTCCCTCCTCAACGTCCAAGTGCCGTCCTCAGTGAGAGGTGGGCAAGTCCAGCTTCTCTCAGAAAAGACGGCCAAGCTCAGCAGTAGATGAGCGTGTTGCGATTTGGACCCAGGGACTGCAAAGATAGACATGTCGAAATCATTCTGTTCTGTTTGATCCTCTTCTATCGTTATTCTTTTTCAGTGTTTGACTGACAAGGAATGCTCTTTTTGCCGTCCCTCCAATTTCTTTGCTGACGAAGACTCTTCAGTATGCTGACGCATTCCCGCGGCCGCCGTCAAAACACGATGTTGCCAATGGTTTAACGCAATCACCATACAGTATCTGGAACAATTGAGGGTCTATGCTTGTGCACAGACAGGCATACGGCATGCTACTTTTGTGACTATGCCCACTTGCCAAGAGCCTTCTGTCGCCTTTCCGTCCGAATCCCCTGGATTCCCCTTCCACCGGCATCCACCCGCCAGGGTCTGGTTCCCGTCCGAACTGCCCCAAGCCCAAGCCGCCTTCTCCTTCCGCGCACTCCCGCCGTTGCACTGCGCCGGCCAGGAGCATCCATCCCACTGGGTGCTGCAGCAGGGGCGCCCGTCGCAGCGAAGCAGCGGACGTCGCAGCGGACGTCGCGGAGAACAGCTTCACCACGTCGGATTTCTCGGTCCCCGAACCAGTGCCAAACACATTCGCCCTCAGCAAGTTGGAACTCACACATAGACCAGCACGCTCGTACCGCCAGTCGGGCCATTGTCCCAAAGCCCTGGGCCATTGACGTTTTCGTCAGGTTGGTGGCACTTGTGGGCTCATCACGGGCGCTGCCGCGGGCGGTGGGGACGGCACAGTTGGGCGGTGGAGCTGAGGAAACAAAGAGGGAAGACGTAGAATGTATACCCCTTGAAACCATTTATACCATATGATATATATATATATATATAATGTAGACCATATGTTTTGGTGGAGACCCTCCTCCATATGAAGAAGAACATAATTTAATTTAAACGGAAAAGGTTTATGAATCAAGAGCCTACTATTAACTATAGCTCTTTGCGAGGGAGCGATTCGGAACGCTTGGGTTGCCTCCCGTTTTTTTCTTGCCCCGCGCCGCGCCGGAAGGCTTGCGCCGGAACTCGCGACCCGCGCGACCCCCCAAGCCCTTGCTTAGTAAGTCATGGATAGTTTTGCCCATGACCTTCCTGCTGCGATCCCAGCCCAGTGACCAGCCCAGTGACCTGGTCGCGAGTTTCTGTCCGTGGTTTTGGCTCGTGGCCGGTCGAATGGTTGGCGAACTGGAACCACGGCTGGTGAACCTACGAACAGGTGGTTTGCCTGGATTGACCGGGCTGGGACGGATTCCAACTGATTTTTTTCTGAAGCAATCCTTGAAGAACGTGGCTTTGTCGGTCCCAAGCAACAGTCTTTTTCTTCTCTTTTCTCTATCTGAGACTATGCAAGCTTGCGTCCATCAACCGCTGCATTCTCATTGACAGTTGGTATGTTCTTTTCAATAAAGTGCTTGCCTGCCTGCTGAATGCTCCTTTTCACTAGGCTATTCTCATCTTCATCACCCTCCTTCTGCTGTGCTTATCACATCATATCACTACGATGACAAGGATGGAAAGGGGGAAGACCTCCAATCCTTCCACTAGCATCCCCATTTTTACTATCATCCAATCATTTTTCAACTATAATCTTAATCGATCCTTTTACTAAGACTATTACCCTCACCTCCCCCCGGACAAGGCTCAGCTCACCCTTCTACTCCCTTTGGCCAGACTCGCTTCCCCAGGCACTGCTGGCCTGGTTGGGGGCGGCTTATTGGGCCGCGGCTATGTCCGGCGCCCCGTGTATCACACGGCCGACCGATCGCTCAAAGGGGTTGGGTCTGGGTCTTCGGGAAAACATGAGCACCGAACGACTCCCACCGTTCTCAGCCTGAGGAGATTCTCGGGGCTCAAGATTGGGCGAGTTTTCGCCTCCTTTTGCATGGAGCCAAAAAAACTTCATTCATCAAGCCAGCTCACGAGTATGAGGTGAGTCCATGCTGATGTGGGTCAATACGTAAGATCCCCAGACCCTGAGTCCATGCTGTTCATTTTGGTGGACCAGGTATGTTTCTTTTGGAGACTGCATACAAGCGGCTCGCTCCTTCGACCACAGGCTCCACAACAAGACGGAGTGAACGAATCTGGAAGCCATAAAGTAACACAATGCAAATATCCACCGCTCCATCCAGATGAGATAGTTCCAGAAGATTTCATTAGCTTAAATATACATCACCTAGGACATCCTTGACATGGAACATGATACCTGTGGTATAAATCGTTGCCGCCTCCGTGATGCATCTAACGCCAACTTGGACCAAACTCCGATGGTTTTGGTTTCCGATTCCGGTGAACCTGAAGCTATGAGATGGTACAATCAACTGAAAAGCCATGTGTCATCCCATCAACAGGAGCTCCA